AACTGTTCCTATATTCATCTTTTGGCAACAAAGTGTACGCATTAGATTATCAACTGTCTTCAGCTCCCACCCCCACACCCCCAGCCCCTAATAGTTGTGACCGTTGACTAGACTTCAAAATAACATTCTCCAATTAAAACCCAAAAGACTCAACATTCCTAGCTGTGGCCAAGGAAAGATAGGATCAGGGAACAAAGTGCTTTCAGTATTTGCAATATGTTCGGTCTTTTTAAAATAGATTCTCATGAGGCATTTGCAAATAGTTTTTTCTATTTTTAAAATCACGAATATTAAAGTAAATCAAACATAATTTCTTCTCTCTTGTTTTCATTTTAATTTTCTTCTTTGGAGATTTTTAAAAATTTTCTGCTGAAATGAACTAATGAATAAGAACATATTTATGCTCAGGAGCATATCGTCAGGGAGGAAAAACTCTTTACGACCCTCTTAGTTTCAGTCCTGAGGGCCCGTGAATTAAACTCTCAAAGATTACCAGGAGAAAAGGCATGCAATTTTTATTAATATTTACATTCGTGGGAGTTCACAGAAAAGTGTAACTCAAAAAAAGGAGTTAAACTTGGGAATTTATATACCATTTGAACAAAGGAAAGGGGTCTGGGCTTCCAGGGACAATAAATTATGGGGAAGTGACTAGGGAATAAATAGTAGGACTCATGGAAGATAACAGTTATTTCGTAAGGTCTGTTTATGCAAACTTGTCTCAGTGTCAACTCACATCTCTTATGGTGATGAATGATCTTCTTTTCCTGGAAAAACTGGGGCAACTAACTCGAGGGGAAATTTATGCCCTGCTTTTAGGCAGGTAAGGGGAAGACAGAGGTCTCTTCTTGTATCTGTTGATTCTCAGTTGCCTCCAGCTCGAAATAATCCTCATGGCAAAGCGGCACATTTTGATGGGGCATATTCTGATCCCCTTCAATAAAAAAACAAAATACTTAATAATTAAATGAGATGATGGGCCAAAATTCTGTGGTGTAAACTGAAGATGCTTCATCTTTCCAGTGCTTCAGGAAGCAAGATTCAAATGGGGGAGTGGAACTGAAGTCGGGGCAGAGATTGGGTTGGAAGGTGGAGCGGACGCAGACTCTGGCCCCTAAGACCTAGCATCATAGAAGTGATTTACTCGCTTTGCAAAATTTCATAACCTTAATTTTTCTTTCTTCTCATAGTAGGTATTTACATAGGCCTCAGCTTTTCTGGATTTTGGAATTATAACAACATCACGTGGTATAACCTGACAGATATGATCTATTCTGAAGTTGGAGAAGGTAATTCTTCTGATGGCGCCTTCATCCTTAGCATTTCATTTATATCAACATTTGATCAGTAGGTCACCTTTCTCTTACTTTATAATCCATGGTACAATTTCTTCCTTTAGAACACACAGAGCTTTCAGTGGTGGATATGGTCTTAACAAATCATTTCTTAGTTATCCTCACCTCTTTGGGTCTTTTCATAAGTGGAGATCTTCGCTATCCATCATCCTCTGTCCTCACGGTATGTGTCTGCTTTGTAACTAGTAGTTGATCTTAAATATCTTCTGTGCCATAAAATAGAAATATTGAAGACTTGAGTTACGTGTGATATATTTTTGAATTGAAATGCTTCTTCCTCTTCAAAATGTAAAAGCATAATAGAATAACTTCTTCCTTTGCATTATGATATTGAGTATGTTTTTGGACACGGTGCAAGTTTTATTGCTATACAAATTTATAATAAGTTTTAAATATGTACAAGTAGAAAACAGTTTATCTATTATCTATCTATCTATCTATCTATAGTTGTATATGTTCTCAAAATGCTTTAGGGTAATTTATTAAGCTAAATATAGTATTACAAAGTAACTGAAGTAACTTCTGGGATTGAGAGAAGGGGAATGTACATTTTGGTGATGATACACAATATGCAAACAATGAAATTCTTAAGCATTTAACAAATACCTCTCAGAAATTACCACAGCATAAGTAAGAATTGTAATAAAGACCTAGGAACAGTAGGAGAAAAGATAAGGGGAAGTAGGAAAGGGGCAATTGTACTGGTTGAGAAGTAGGTATTTCTTGTACATGGTAATTATTACCTTTCTTCAGATATACAAGTATTCTCAGTCTCCCCTCCTTTCTCACTGTCTCAGAGAAAGTAGTATTTGTTGCTCAGACAACTAATAGATCTGACCTTCTGTGTGCTTATCATGTGATTGCTGAAGCAGAGACTCGAAGAAGCCAGGAAGTGACAAGTTCAAAGTAGAGAGGACTGTACAATTGGGGGCCTGATCTAGGGACTGCACTGGGCTGGGCAGAAGCCACAGAGAGGACATGGAGAAAATGATAGGTTAGGGGTATGCCTTTTTAATCCCAAGTGGGTGGCAGACTTATTGTGTTTCTGCACACTTCCGAGCTCCTCTACTTTAATCATTACGAGGTAGGGTTTTGGTCTCAAATCCTTTCTGGAATTAAAGTAGAAATAAATCGATCAAATGGTGAAACAAGGCAAAGACTGAAGGGGAAATTTCAGGATATTGTATAAACTACTTAAGAGGCTGGTTTTAGTGTTGGGATATAAAATATATGATTTCCTTTAATATAGTTTAAATTGTTGTTTTCTTATGCCTTCTCATATGCGAGCAAAAGTTAAAATTCTTTTTTTTTCCTCTCTCTTAGTTTTCAAGGGCAGACTTTTGTGGTTTCGAAAGGGTAAGAGACTTTAAATTTTCAAGGATTGGTTAGAAGATATGTTTCCTTAATGACCTAAGAGATGAGGTTCAAGATAAGAATTCACAGTATAAATTATTCCTGTTACTATAACATTGTTTAAAATGTGAACTTAAAAAAGTATTTCTACCAGCCATTAAGCAATAATCTTCTCTTCTGTTTCAAAGGACAAATCGCCCCTCCTTGTCTCAGAGGCTGCTCCCACCCCTTCTTTGTATGTTCTGTCCAGGATTGTTGTTAGTGTACAGGTGTATTCTGTTCAAGAGTGCCCAGCTGAAAAGAGAGTGGGGCTGAAATTGGGCTAACACCATACGCCCCAATCCATCTACTTCTGGGCAGGTCTGTGCCTACCTGGAGAAAGTTACTTTTTCAATTTTGCACAAAAGTGCCATGTAAGCTATCCACACCTCTGAATTCTGGCTTTCGGCGGGGAATTTTATTATCAGTTATCTCCCCCTCTCTGTTACAAGGTCAAGTTTCATGATTCAATCATTTCCATCAACATATAAGCATGCTTTAGTTTGGAAACCGCAACAAAAATTTTGAGTATTCTTAACCTTTTACTATGTCCCCTCCCCAGTCCCTCCTCATACACACCTGTGGGCACACGCACGCATGCTCAAAAGTGAAATTATTCTTAAAAATATAAGGCTTTACCTTTAGATAAGACCTTCTTGATAATGATTAAAGAAAAGATAGTAAGAATCAGATGTATGTTGCTATTTGGGCAAGTAGTTGAAGGGGTTAATTTTTGATGATTTATTCATTTACTTATTCATCATTCTACAAATATTTGTTGAGTACATTCTGTAGCCCATGCTTGTTTAGACAAGAAAAGTTCCATAGTGAACAAGACACAGTTCCAACTCTCTCGTATCTTACCATTTTATTGAGGGAGATAGACCATAAACAAGTACACAGACAAATGCATAACATAATTATAGGTAGTAATCAGGGATTATTGAAATTAAAGCAGGTAAGGGAAATAGAGAGCAAGGGGAAGATAATGTTGTATTTTAAATAGGATGATTATAGCAGGCTTCTCCAAGAAGGTAAAATTCAAGCAGAAATTTGAATGACTTGAAGGAATGATTTTGACAAAGTACGTTCAGACAGAGGTAACAATACTAAGTACAAAGAGGCTAAATTGGGAAATTGACATGAGGAAAAATATGTTAGTTAGCTGCCAAAATCTGTTTAGTAGAAATATCACAGACTTTGGGTCGCTTCTTCAAGTATAAAATTCTAACTTGTGAGACATACAAGATCTTTTACAGTCAGCGCCTCCACTACCTTTTTCATCCTTGTCATGCCTCCCCCTCACCTCAAGCCATCCTTCCCAGCCATTAACTTCATTCTCAGTAGGTTTTCTCCAATTAGTAAGAATTACTAAGAATAGCCACCAGGTTAATAAGCGATCCGTTTAGCAATCGCAACAGGAACACAGCATCTCTTTCCCAGTAGTTCCAGCAAATTTCAGGGCTGACTCATTAACCTGACTTGGATCATGTGTTCATTCCTGACCTTTGTGACTCTGAGTCAGACCTGGGTCATGAGCTCATCCCTGGGATGAGGTCAACCTGATCAGATTAAATTCTCCCCAGATATATTAACTGGGCTGTTACCAGTTTGATCCCAGGTAGGGGGGGAGGCGGGGTGAGGGGGAACCAAGAAGGAATCTAAAGAAAAAGAAAAGGAATAAGTCGGGGTCCAGTAAAGATTCCATCTTAATTACCCAGATATTATAATGATAATTATGGTACCCCACAAACTTGAAGATTTATGTAAGAACTCGAAAAGGTTCATTCGATATAACAACTTACCTTGAAGATACCACACTATTCAAATAAATTGTTGCCCATTCTGTTTTAACAGGCTTTTTTGTTTGTTTGTTCCTTTAGCGGTTTTATTGACATATAATTCATGTAGCATAAAATTCAGCCATTTAAAGTGTACAATTCATGCATGGCCTTTAGTATATTCAGAGCTGAGCAACCATCATCACTATCATCTTTAGAACGTTTAAAAGGATTTTAATGCACAGAGCACACAAATTTTATTTTGACCTACAAAAATGTCAGAAGGTCTCCCTTTTGTTTCAACAATAATTTGAAAGTTAGAATCTTTCTATAACAAAACCGTCTCAAACCCTTGCATATAATTAATATCCAACATATATAATCTCACTTTCTTGGAAGCTTATCTCTTATGACCAGTTTTTTTTAAACCCATATTTTCGTGGCTTTGTTCTTATTGCTTCTTGCTGCTGTCAGGCTTCTGTGAAGATTCCTTAAACCTAGCTGCACCTAATGAGGAACAAAAGACCCATTGTGACTGTGATGAAAGGCTAATAGTTTCTGGTAGCTTCGGAAAAGACCGTTCATAGACTGGGGCACCTTCCGTTAACACGTGCTAATTCGTGTGAAATTTCTTTCTTTTTTTTTTCTTTTGTTCAAAAACCATATTCTTGTTTCTCGTCCTCATTCTACAACATTTTATTTTATTTGCATATAATTTTTCTCTTTATTTGCCTCACATTCCTGAACTATTAAACTTTTAAATTTTTAAGTGTTTTTCCTATATAATGTCTTAAGTCTACATAATGCCTAAATGACATTATTTATCTGTTTGTTTGTTTATGTAGGTTGACTATGTCAAAGGAAAATTGTGGTACAATGAAAGATGTTTTGCTAACAGAGCACACTTTGAAGGTACATTTTAGTTAAAGAGATATTAACAAGGGTTTTTTCAACATACATAGCATCAATAGATTAAATTGAATGACATAAAATAAAAATAGAATAAAGTGTAAAGCTAGGTTTGTTTTGTATAAGTTAATGGCCTAAAGCTAAGGGGGAAAATTAATTTAAATCTAAGACAATCTGAGATAAGTGTAAGAAAATTGATTTGAGTATACTTAATTAATGATACATTTAAAACTATAGATGCTGCTTGTAATTTCTGTACCTTTATATTTTTTTAGTCGACTATGTTACTGTCACCTTTGAGAGAAACAGGACCTTAAGTGAGGTATGACATTGAATATTTTAAAATGTAAGACATTTTTGTGTATGTGCACGAGTTCATGGATTATTATAAATCTAAAAAATGGCAGTTCTACAGACCAAAAGGCTTAACAACTACTCTTTGCTCCCAGTGGTGCCTCTACTTGGGTTTAATATCCTAATTGTGTTTAATCTAGACCTACACTGGAGTTACAGAAAAACAATCCATGCCAGAGAGGAATGCTTTGCAATGGTTTCTGGACTCACATGCCCCAGAAGAGAAGCACAGACATCAAAGACTTAACACCATTATATGCAGTCAGTCAGGACAACACAATGGTTCATTAGTTTATTTGCTTAGGAGAATCCATTGGAACTTATGTTTCAAGAATGGCCTTAACTTTTCCTATCTCTTTTTGTAGGAAAGCTCTTGTTTTTATAGTAAAGAGCCATTTCATGATTGGTTGCCTTGCTTACCTCACATTTCAAAAGGGATGAAAACTATTTCTTCAGCTGTAATAACATTTCTCGTTGACCAAGAGCATAGTTCTGGAGTCTTCCTCTTAAGGAACCAGGTAGGCCTTAACAGCCGGGCAGTGGTTGCTATTGACACTACACTAATGAAAATTTATCTAAACAAAATGTATTTCTCAGCTCTTGTAATCTTGGGCAGTAGAAGTTGATAAAATGAGCCATAGCAAAATTATTTATGGTTAATAATACAGATTAAGATGCTTTAGAGATTTCTTGCCTCTGATTGTCATTCAGTTTGGTGAAAATGGAGAATATGATGCTGTTTGCATAGTGGTTCTTCTTTGTTTATTCTCCTGGAGAATATAAGCTGAATTAGGTCTATATAAATTTAAGGTTTCGTAAAAGTGGTTAGTTTAGATAAGCAAAAAATTAAACTAAATCACCGCAGATCTATATTTTCTATTCCAAAGGGTCTTAACCCCAGATGTGATTTAGAATTTTTCTTAGAGCCATTAAAATGTCTATATAATTTCATCCTTACCCTTATGATTTTAGGGAAGAAAAAAATTTTTTTCCTCTACCCTCTTGGATTCAGTAATCAGGGCCCTGCAAATTAAACTGACAAAAGACAGCTCAGCAGGAGAAAAGAACACCATTTATTTCTGCATGCCGTGCACATACAGGCAGGCAAAAGTCAGTGATGAGTAACTCAAAAAAGTGGTTAGAATTTGGGGTTAAATGCCATCTTACTAGGTTAATGGGGAAATGAGAAAGGCACTTAAGGAAAAAACAAAAGAAAAGATCATGGGTTTACAGGAGAACAAACGGGAGATAATAAAGTTTGTGATAATGTTTGTTTATACAGGTATGAGTGGTCTTTCTGTCTCCTTTGGGGAGGAGGGATTGAGGTAGGTTTTATTCACACATTCTCCGTCCTGGAAGTAGATATGCTCTGGAAAAGAATTTATGGCAGTCTTATTTCCCAGAAGTTGCTGCTTTTAGTCAGATAAGGAAAGGCGTTTTTTTCTGCATTTGTTGAATCTCAAGTGTCTTCAGGTTAATATGATTTTTATGCCAAAATGGCATATCTCGGGGTGCATAGTCTGATCCCCTTTAAGATCATGATCCAATAGAATTGGAGTATGGCCCAGGTGTACACACTTTTCAAAAGTAGTTTGACATGACAGCTATGAGCACGGGCATTAGAGCCATCTTCCTGCCGAAATCAATCTTTCTGCCATTTATTGTAGAACCTTGGAAAAATTATATAATCTTCCAAATCTCATGTTCGACAGCTATAAAATGGATGTATATGGGCGGGGTGGGGGGTAGCAGGCAGAGTAAAGAGATACTGATGGTTGCTAATCCTTCCAGTTCTATGCTGTGTTATTGGTTGTGTCCCTATCTTAATAAAAAATTCAAAGAGCAGGAGACTCTAAAAACTGTAACATAGATTAGCATTATTAATAAAAATAACTCTTATGACTTGCTCATGCTTTATCTATTTCTAGAAAGAGATCACTACCTCCGTACACATCCTGAAAAATAACAAACTAAGCTCGAGACCAAAATTTCCACGCTTCACGTTTCCTTCATCATTCTATTCTCCCGTTGGAATGGTATTCCACCCACGAAGCCATTTTCTCTACGCTTATGGTAATCAGGTGTGTACCCGTGCGATTTCACACCCTAGTGTAGTGTGAAACATTCACTTCCTCCGTTTCGAGCGGTTATGCATCAAGTAAAGAACAGTCACTCTGGTGATCAGGGAGGCAAAAGGCCCGAGGAAGAGAGAATGAGAGGAGAGGAAACAGAGACAACGACTATAAACAAATTTTTTGCAGAATTTTCCTGAAAAGTGGCACAGTAAAATGGGGCAATCTTTAAAGGAGGAAGGGTGGTCAAGAGAAGAGTTGTTTTTTGTTTTTTTGTTTTATCGTTTATTTTTTTTAAAAAAAAAAGGAGGAATTACACTGTGTGCTGATGAGAATTATTCAGTAGAAGCAGGGATTGATGATGCAGGAAAGAGAGAGAGGAGAAACTTCTGGAGTGAGGTTTCCAAATAGGGAAGAGGAGATGAGATCCGCACATTGGTGGAAAGATGGGCCTCAGGAGGACAGTTATCTTGCAGTAACAGGAGGGAAGGAAGAATCTATGGGTTCAAAGCTGGTAGGTGGGGACTTATGGTAATGAAAGGGTGTGGGAATTTATCTTCTATTTTCTCAACAAAAAAATCAAAGTCATTATTTGAGTGAGGATGGAGGAAGAGTGTTGGGAATTTGAGGAAAGAGAACAGAATGAAATAGTTGCTAGAAGGATGGGAGGATGAACTGACTGTGAATGCAGTACGATTGCGTTCATGCTCATGAATTCTAAGTGTGACAAGTTCAGCATGATTGAATGTTCTTCTCCATGTTCAAGTGTGGGGGTACACACATAGTATAGAAGACAGAGAGTTGTATTTAACCACAGTTGAAATTCTACCAAAGACTTGTTAAGAAAAAGAAGAGTGTACAGAGGGAATGCAATAAGACAAAAAAATTAAGAAATTTAAGTCATGAATATTAAAAAGTAGCAAAAGAACTCTATTTACTTATAAAAGATATATGACTTTATAAACAACCTAAAAGATGCATTCAAATTACTAAAACGAAAAAGAAGGAGAAGGAGGAAGAGGAAGAGAATTCTGTTCATTAAGGAGACATCGAGAGAAGTGAAAATACAAACTGGGAGATGATATTTTAACACATTTAACTGACAAAGAATTAGATGGAAGAATATATAAAGAATTCCTATAAAGCAATACAAAAAAGGCAACCTAATTGCTAAATCGACAAAAAACATAAATGGGCATTTTACAGGAAAGGAAATACACATGAATAAGCATGTGAAGAGATGGTATAATCCACTAGATATAACTACAAATCAAGAATGCAATGAGATATCATTTCCAGCTATTTAGTTGGCAAAATTAATTCCGACAATATACATTTGGAAGAGGATGTGGATCAACCAGCTTTCTTATACATTGTTGATGGGAGAGTAAATTACTACTTTTTAGGAAAGCAATTTTGCATGATTTTGCATATTTTGAATATACAAATTTGAATGTTTGCATATTCTGTGACCCACCAGTTTCACTTTTGGGCAAGGGAAACATATATGAGGAAACATTTTCAAGTTTTCATCATGGCACTGTTAATAATAGCATTAGATAACTGAAAATAATCCAATGCCCATGAATAGGACAATGAATAAATAAATTATATTTTATTCACATAATGAACTACTATACAGCAGTAGAAAAGCAAATGAACTGCATGAATATAATGCATGAATATAAGTAAATGATGTTGGCAGCGGGCGGGGGGGAATAAGTTCTAGAAGACAATAAATGGTATGATACCCTTTTTAAAAAGTGCAAAAAAAGTAAAATCAAGCAATATATTATTTAAAAATATGTATGTGCTAAAAGCAAAAAATTGCAAGGGCATAAAAACAAATTTCAGGATATTAGATATCTCTGAGGGATGAGGTAGGGTGATAGGATTGGAATGAAACATATAGAAAAATATAAAGAATTGGCAATATGCTAATTCTTGGGTTCAGCTATCAGTTCTCATTCTCGTTTTATTGTTAAATAAATAAGAATAAAAGTGAGCTGTGCATGTACCAATAATTTAAAATATTTAGAAAATAAGCAGTAAGATGTCATTGTTTTCATTCAGGTAATCAGTAAAAATTAAAAATAAATTTTTGAAGTATCAATATTGGTGAGGTTTAGGGACTTGGATAATCTCATACACTGCTTATGGAAGTATAAACTAGGTCAGCAAAACCGAAGAGCTTTTTGGCAGTGTCTGTTAAAATGATAGAAATATGCATAGTTTCTGATTCAGCAACTTAATTTTTCAGCATCTGCTCTAGAGGTGCATTTTAACATTAGTATGAAGAGGCAGGTAAATGATTGTTCATTGCTGTATTGTTTATAGCAGTGAATATTTTGATATAACCTTTAAGTATCCATTAATAGGAAAATAGAATATCTCAAGTATGGTATATTCCTAATATTGGAGACTATGCCTCAGTATAGAAGAATATGAAGATCCACATGAGCTAACAAAATTATGTGAGATATATTGTTAAGTGGCAAATATAACTTACAGAACAACAGGTAGAGTTTAACGCCATTTTGAACATATGTTCAAAGCACCCTCCCCGACCCACACCCACTCACCATCATGCTCACCAGTAACATTTACAGGGGCCAAAGCAAGAGTAGAAATGGAGGCCCCCATATCACATGCTCAGGATTATGGATCGTGCTGTGCCAGCAATGAGTGCTATATTCCCGAGTGATAGAAGCACCCATGTGTTTATAATATGTGGACCCACTAAGTATGCAGTCTAGGGCAAGGGTCTCTCCTGCCCAAGTCTGCAGGTTGTGCCTCATCCAGATATGTGCTTCCTTTCCTCCTCACCATAAACTGAGCTGTTTTGGATGTATGCTATGGGCATACATGTGAATGTAAATGTGTAGGCTTTGCAAGTTGATAACAGTGGTTACTGCTGGAAAGGGATAGAGACCACGATTAGATCAGATCTAATGGTTTAGATGGTGTTCAAAGAGATTTCAGCCACATTGTAACGTTTTAAATTCAAGAAAAGCCTATTTTCAGGTATAACTTGTCATTAAAATTAATTTTTAAAAAGAAATTATAAAACCAGAAATCTTCATTTGAATAAGACTTAGGCTATTAAAATAAGTACCAAGCAGGATTCATCCAATATACAATCTGATTTATCTTCAAACAACCCTTACCAAATGATGAGGAAGCAGAGAAATTTATATGCTATGGTGGAGTATATTTGAGTGTTTACCAAGGTCCCAGGACACACTCTTGCAAATGTCAAGGGACTCTTCCACGCAAAACATGTTTATGTACATATCTGCCAGATGCCTACAACTTGAAGTCTCATGTCAATATGGGATAAACCTTCTCCCTCATATCCAAATGCACCCAGTACTTCATCCCTTTATGAACAAGGGGACCCTATTTTGGAGCCGATGGGAATAACTTTGCTCTTTTATACAATCACCATGCGTACTGTGTCATACATACTCCTGCATACAAACTCCAGGAAGGAAATAGAGAATAGATCAAATAATTAAAGAGTCTCTGTGTGTGTGTGTGTGTGTGTGTGTGTGTGTGTGTGTGTGTGTGTGTGAGAGAGAGAGAGACAGAGACAGAGAGACAGAGAGAGAGACAGATGGGGGAGCATGGAAATGACTATACTGTATGAATTTTCTTACATAGGAAGATTAGGCTGATAGGTAATTGCTGTGACATGGCAGCTCTTTAATGAGGTCTTATGTTTCTATTCCCTTAGGTATGGCTTTCAATCGATGGTGGCAACACTTTTGAATTATTAGCCGACTTTCACAATGATATCATAAAGAATACTTACCATAGTTTTTATACTTCCGATATCACTCTTGTTTCCCAAAACGGAAAGGTTTACTTGACGAAGGCAGGTGAGGAATTCTCTTTTATTGGTGTACACATTATATGTGAGCCAGGGATTAGAAGGTACATGAAAAGAAAAAGTCTGCCATATTGATCAACTAATTCTAAAGTCTCAAACCTATTATGGATGATAGATTTTTAAAAATATTTTAATTGTGGTAAAATATACATAACATAAAATTTACCATCTTAACCATTTTTGAGTATACAGCTCAGTGGTATTAAATACATTCAAAATGTTCTGTAACTGTCACCACCATCCATCTCCAGAACTCTTTCTATCTTGTAAAACTGAAATTCCTCAGCCTTTAAACAATAGATTCCTATTCCTGCCACCCCCAGCGCCTGGGAACCATCATTCTACTTTCCATCTCTATGATTTTGACTACCCTGCGTATCTCAAATAAGTGGAATCATGCAGTATTTGTCTTTTTGTGACTGGATTATTTCACTTAGCATAATGTCCTCAATGTTCATCCACTTTGTGACTGGATCATTTCACTTAGCATAATGTCCTCAACATTCATCCATGTGGTATACCGCAAAATTTTATTCATATTTAAGGCTGAATATTATTCCATTGTATTTGTATGCCACATTTTGCTTCTCCATTTATTCATTGATGGACACTTGGGTTGCTTCCATGTTTTAGCTCTTGTGAATATCACTCTTTGATACTCTGCTTTCAATTCTGCTGGGCATATACCCAAAAGTGGAATTACTGGATCATCAAATAAAATTCTCCACATCCTTGCCAACTCTTGTTATTTTCTGGTTTTTCAATGGTGGTCATCATGATGGGTGTGAGGTAGTATCTCATTTTAGTTTTGATTGGCGTTTCCCTAATGATTAGTGATGCCGAGCATCTCACGCTTATTATCCGTCTGTATATCTTCTTCGGAGGAATGTCTGTTCAAGTCCTTTGCCCATCTGTTAATCAGATTGCTTATGTTTTTCTTATTGTTGAGTTTTAGGAGTTCTCTATATATTAGGAGTTCTCTATATATTCTGGGTATCGATTCCTTATCATATCTATGATTTGCAAATATTTTCTCCCATTTCGTGGGTCACCTTGAACCTTCTTGTTTAAGTTAATTTCCAAGTATCTTATTCTTTTTGATGCTATTTACTCTAATATCATGTAGGTGAATTGTTCGTGAGACCTGTCTGCTTCATCTCATCTCAGCAGCACCTGCCCTCATTCTTTCGGCTCAGAGCAGCGCCTCGGAAGGTGGTAAACCTGGCTTCTTTCGAGAGGGCTTGACTTTTCTCTTGACTTTTTATTTGGATGTCGTCTCACCCACTGCCAACTCCTTTCACGTTAGGAGGGCATTACTGGTACTCCTCACGATTTTTTTAATTTATTTTTCTTCTCTCATTATTGCCTCAAAAGGCCGGATGCAGAGTAGTGCGACCTGTTACACCAGAGTTTTCTTTGTTTCGTTAGCTCTTACTTCTTTACCTTTTGGCACATTGTTGTTCCTTTTCCGTTTTTGAATTCTGCTGGTAGTTTTGCTTTGTTTTTTTTGCTATATATCACCTATTTATCTATCCACCTAGCTATATCCATTTACTTATTTATTTTTGTGGTAAAAATATATAACAAAATTTAGGTTTTCAACCATTTTTAAGTGTACGGTTCAGTGAAATTAAGTACATTCACATTATTTCTCAACCACCATCACCATCCATCTTCCTCCAGAACTCTTCCAAACTAAAACTCTTCCTGTCAAATGATGACTTCCCCATTCTCCCTTCCTTCTAGACTCTGGCAACTACTTTTTGTCTCTATTAACTTGATTACTCTTATGTACCTCATATAAGTAGAGTCATATAGTTTTTGTCCTTTCGTGGCTGGCTTATTTCACTTAACATATTGTCTTCCAGCTTCATCCATGTTGTAGCATACATCGGTCTTCCTTTTCATGGCTGGATAATATTTCATTGTATGGATGTGGCACATTTTGTTGATCCATTTATCAGGATATTTAGGTTGTTGGATATCTGGAGTTTTCCTACTTTGGGGTCTTATGAATAATGCTGTTATGAACATTTGTTTACATATTTTTGTGTAGAAATATGCTTTCAGTTCTCATGGATATATAGTCAGGAGTCTAATTGCCAGGTCATGTGGTAATTCTGTGTTTAACTGTAGCTGTACCTAATGAGGATTATTTCTCCACGTGCTCACCAATGCTTGTTATTTTCTGTATTTTTTTAGTATAGTTACTCTATACTAATTGTATCTCGTTTTGATTTGCGTTTACCTAATAACTACTGCAGTTAAGCATCTTTCCATGTGTTTATTAGCCATTTATATATCTTCTGTGGAGAAGTGTCTATTGGAATTCTTCACCCATGTTAAAATTGGGTTAATTGTCTTTTTATTGTTGAGTTGTGAGAGTACTTTATATATTCTGGATATAAGTCCCTTACCAGATAGGTAATTTGCATGTATTTTCTCTCATTCTGTTAATTATTTTTTTACTTTTGTGGTGATGTTATTGAGGTACAAACATTTTTAATTTTGAAGAAGTCCAGTTTATCTATTTTTCCTTTTGTCGTTTGTGGTTTTGGTGTCATATCTAAGAAACCATTGCCTAATCCAAGATTATCCTTTCTTCAAAGAGATTTATAGTTTCATACGTATTTTGGGGGTTCATTTTGTTAGGTGTTCATAAGATGATGAAGCTACCAATTGTATAAAAATAATTCTGAAATTCAATAACTTAATAGTTCAATGAACTTATTAACTACCTTCAGAAATACGGGTCTCTCCAACAATTCTCACTTTTATAGATTAATGAGCAAGTTTGGAGATTGGGGTAAACTTGGAAATATCTGATAATTCTAACCAGAGTGGGAAAAACACTGACTATCTCCAAGATAAGAGTGAGACTTGGTTTTCTTTTGGTTTGTTTTTTTTAACATTGTCAGCATTCTCGGCTGTCTTAAAGCCGGTTTTTTCTGGTCTTGCAAGTCTCTGATATAATTTTAAACAACAAGCTTTCTAAAGGTTTCTGATGAGACTTCAAAAAGCATGGTTTCTTAGACCTCAATATTGTGTCCTTGATGCTCACTAGCAGAACCATTTTACAGCCGTAACAGTTGCTCCTTCCTTATTCACATACGAGGAGAGACCACAAAATTCTGATTCTTTCCCCACATCTTCACCACTATGTTTATTTATTCTCGATTCCGTCAATAAAACTTTTGCTCCGTTTACGTTGGTATCAAGGTTAACCTTTGTAGTTTATTTGCCTGAATCATTTGTTGAGACAGCATTCATGCAGTAGCATTTAAAAATCTGATGATCAGCAATCATATGATAAAATAAACAGAAGTGACTATGAGTATCATTAGGAGGGATTAGAAAATAGAGCAAGATATAGACCATTTCCAGTATTCCAGAAAGCTCCCTCAAGCCACTTTCATACCTCTAAGGGTAGCCATTAGTCTGACTTGTAATACCATAGACAAGTTTTGTCTGGTTTTGTACTTCGCATAAATAGAATTATGAAGTATATTTCTTTTGTCTCTGACTTTTTTCAATCAACATTATGACTCTGAGACTCCTTTATATTTTTGTATGTATTAGTAACTTGTTCTTTGTCACTGCTGTGTAGTTTTCCATTGTATGAATATACTATAATTTATTTATCCATTCAGCTGCTGATAGGTATTTGAATTGTTTCCATTTGGGGCTATTATAAATAAAGTATCTATGAACATTTTTGCAGAAGTCTTTTGCTGGATGAGCTTTCATTCATTTGATATATACCTAGGAATAGAATTGCTATACCTTAAGGCATATGTTTGTTTAACTTTTGGTGGGGAAAAAAAATTATGTGCTTCCAACGCTTTTCCAAAGTAAATATATCAACTTACTGTCCTACCAGCAATATGAAGGAATTCCAGTTGCTCCCCCTTCTCAGTACTTAGTATTGTTAGTCTTTTAAATAGTAAGCCATTGTGGTGAATGTGTAATAGTATCTCAATGAAGATTTAGTTTGCATGAGTAATAATATTGAGCACATATTCATATTTCATTGGCCAATTTTATATCTTTTTTTGGTGAATTATCTCTTTAAGTCTTTTTAATCAAGTTTTGATTGGATTGACTTTCTCTTATTGATTTCTAAGAGTTTTTAATGTATTATGGATATGAGACCTTTTTTAGAAATGTAACTTGCAAACATCTTTTCCCAAACAGTTGCTTGTCTTTTTACTCTCTTCATGGTGTCTTTTGATGAACAAAATTATTAATTTTTAAAAGTTAAATTGATCAGTCTTTTATGGTTGATGCTTCTTGCTTCTAATATTCTGTTAAGAAAATTTTGCCTATTCCAAAGTTATGAAGAGATTCTCCTGTTTTCTTCTAGCAGATTGATTGTTCTTAGATTTCTTACATCAGTCTATGTAAATTTTCTAATTTTGTGTGTTTGGTAAGAGGTAAGGTTTATTTTTTTCACCGTACAGCTGTCAAGTTCTCTATTCTGGCCTTGAGTTGGATATTCAAGGTCATAAGCTTTTTTAAAAATTTTTTTTGTTTTTATTTTGTAAGTTCTCCAATATATCCATAAAAGTTACATCAGCCCACAATCTTTGTAAAAACCATGATTGTCATTGTAATCAAGTAAAACCACCCCATTTCATCCCCTAAAGTCTTGCCCTCCACTAGCACTCCGTCCCATGCTACTACCGATAATAATTTGAGTAATTGCGATGCGCTTGATTGCTATGGATTGCCAGCGTCATTACCAGGCATAAGAGGTCATCCGTGCAGTCTTTAAATATGTAAGCAACTCAGTCCCAGAATCCTACCTCAATATTCTGTTTTTTTAGGGACATTTCTGGGAGGAAACATAATTCCACTCAAGAGTTTCACCTGAAGAAGGGACTATTTGTAGAACAGTGGGCAGAGTTAAAAAAAAAAAGCAATATTAAAATATCCAGAGACTAGCAGTGTAAGAAAGTCATTACAGTCTCTTTGATTAAAGGGGTAACACAAATATTTAGATGATGATGATGATAGATAGATAGATAGATAGATAGATAGATAGATAGATAGATAAATAGATGATAGATATATTAAACTTTAACATAGCGCATTATCAGTCACCCTGGGCGACGTGCATGGGCTCCTCTAACGTTATTTCTCCTGCCTGTAGTTGCATTGGTTGGTGTGCAACAAGGCAAATTTTGCATGTTATCTTGTAACACAATATAATACAATCCCATCTTTGGGGATTTCTTCCTTTCTTAGGTCCCATAAAATACTTGGTGGTGGTTCCACAAGAAAATGCGGAATTGTGGTCATTCTTCCAGTCACATTTTGCTTTATTGATAAATATAAGTCCTTTTTTGTCTTCCTCTCTTGCTGCATCCACGACTGTTTCAACGTCTAATTATAATGTAAGCAGGTATTATGCCAGTGATTCAGGAAACAAAGGGACGGCGGCATAAAGAGCTGAGACACTACATGGGTGCATTGCCGATTGACCACTGTGGCGTGAGTGCCACCTGGTGGACAATAATTGTGAGACACATCAATCATAAAATGTATCTCAATTTACAAGACGATAAAATGTAAAAAAAAAAACTATATAGCTTATGTTTATAGATGAAATATGGCATGTTGAACCTTAGCAATTGTAATGGTTAACTTATGTGTCAGCTTGACTGGGCTTGGGGTACCCAGATTAAGAGGGTGCTTCTGGTTGAGATTAGCATTTGAATCAGTAGACACAGCAGACTGCCCTTCCCAATGCTGGTGGGCATCGTCCAAGCCTATGAGGGCCAGAGTAGAACAAAAACGCAGAGGAAAGAAGAATTCACCCATTTTGCTTCCTGCCCGTCTTCCTGAGCTGGGACATTGCTCTTCTGCCCTTGGACAGAGACTTACACCAGCGATCCCCCAGTTCCCTGACCTTTGACCTCTGGGAGTTACACCATTGGCTCCTTTGGTATCTTCAGTTCTCTACCTCACAGAGAGCGGATCATAAAACTTCTCAGCCTCCATAATTGCATGAGCTAATTCCTCATAATAAACCTCTTCCTATATTTTGTGTTGGCTCGTACAGGGTGAAGGAGGTGGACGTGAGGAGACATGGTTGGGTTCTATGCATTTTTGAGACTAAAGTCAATAGGATTTGGTGATGGATTAGATATAGGGTGTGAGAGGAAGAGAGGAAATAAGAACAAGGTGACACCAAGGTATTTGGACTGAGCAACAGAAATGATGCGTTTGCCGATAATGGAGACGAGGAAGGCTCAGGATGCGGGAGGCGTGCGTGAAGATTAGGAGTTCAGTTTCAGATGGCTGACTGACATGGACCTGGAGCTGTCAACAGGCATCTGGAGTTCAGGGAAGAGAATGAGAGGGGAGGTTTAAATTGGGAATCCTTCACATAAAGATGGATTTTAAATCCTAAAACGCAGTTGAAACTTACCAGATTTCATTAACCAATGTCACCATAAAAAAAATAATTAATTAATTTTTTAAAAAATCCTAAAACTGGATGAGATCTCCAGAGACAGTGAGAGAAGAGAGATAGATTAGATATAAGAACAGAGTGTGGAAATCAGCCTTTTTCGTCCTGAGACCTGAACTTCTACTCCGCTCCATCCTCCATTCATGCAGCTTTCTCTTTCTTTGGATTTGTGTCTTTTTGGTGACGTGAATACTGCGTCCTATCATATTACTCCCAGCACTTGTCAATGTGTCGCCCTCACGTGTGAGAGAAACACAGGGCACCGAATTTGGATCAACATTTTAACTCTGGTATAGTTTATGATCCAGTTGTCTCTACTAATAATTCCCCTTGCCTTCCGGAAGGTTATTATCTCACTGCCTTCTTCCTGTCAGGAATCTGGCCTCCTGGTATTAGGAAGAGATACTACTGCTAGAGGGAGCTAACCTCTTTTTACTAGACATCTTTAATATCTGCTCACTGTGTCTGTCCTTCGCCTACTTCAGCGAACAGGTTCTGTAATGAAATGGAGCCTGGAAAAGATTTTCCAGGGGATTAGCAAAGGCCGACATCTATATTACTCCTGGAGTCTCAGAATCCTGCTCTCACCCCTTAGTTTAAATGGAGGAGTTTTTACAAGGTATGGTATTAAAAGTCCTCTGGTTGTATAATATCAATATCAAGAGACTTCTGTTTCTTCCCTAATAGGATTAGAAAGATATAGTGAAGTTGGATCTATTACTGATAAAATTTTCACGTTATACTACGACCACATGGGATTCATACATAAACTGACTCCAGACCGTTTTGAAGATAGTGGGTCATTTACATCCTTTGGAAATTCTAAAGGTATTTTTGGACAGGTCAGTGATGTAATGCATTGAAAAAGTTTGCCTTGTTTTAAGAATAGATGCCATCATATGTACACAGAATAATGGGAAAGTATATTTCTTGGGAACTGTTAGTAATGCACTTTGCTCTATTTAACTAAATGAAAAACCTCCATGTACCAGAGAACATCTCCCAAACCTTCCAAGTCCCATACAGGGTTAAATAGCTTTAACTCCACCCAGTATATCTTTATGTAAATATCTTCACAGCAAAACACCATCAGATATTCAAAGCTAGATCCTTTACTGCCAACCCAGCTTCATGGCGGGTTCGATTCTCTGCCTCCCAAGCTGACCTTGAAGAAACATGAGTTCTGTTTTCCCCACTGGTTTAGCCTCCTTCTTTCTATTAACCCTGCCCACCTCATTTCCTCCTTTTCTAATGCTAACATAGGAAGGAGTTATTTCCTTTTCTCCGGTGATACTACACACAGATTTTTCTAACTTTAATGTATAATCTGCCACTCGTGAAGGCACACGTGCCTAAGAACTCATCATTGGGCAGACAGTCATGAAAATGAACTCTTATCAATACATTGGCAAAGGATCAAACAGATTTTTTTTGACTGGAGTTTAATAAAACCTACCCTTTGGCCCAAAGGAAATAGAAGAAAAGAAGGCTTTAGTTGTAATAGAGGATTCTAAATGACTGGGCCAAGATGGCAGTTGAGAGCATGATATGTTCGTTTCCCCTGCCTGAGCTTGGTAGAGAGCAAGGCGGGAACTTCTTGTGACGCATTGACTCCCTGCGTATTTGCCAGTCTGTGGTGTGAGCTCTGCATAGATACAGGTCCAGCGACGTGAATGGGAAGAAAGAACTAACAAAAAAGCCATCCCCTCAATTTTTCACTAACCGCAATTTGTAGAAAATGTCTTAGTTCTTTTACTTGAAAGTTTTAAATTATGAAAATCGAAAGCCGATAGAGGTTTGTATATTCAGGATGAGTTCAGGAACTCACACTCAGTATTATCATCTCCCTCCCCTGGGACAAGCTAGGAGTGCATCCTTTCTGGGTAAAAGTCATCGCTGGCCTTATTTGGCCCTGACTATGTGCCAGGCACTGTTGTGAGTGCTTAGTCTTTGTAATAACTGTTTATCTCCATTTTACCGATGAGGAAGCGAGGCGCAACGAGGCTAAATTCCTCCAAATTACCCCTACAAATCGTTCGTAATTGGGATCAGGCGTCTATATTCAAACCCCATAGCCACTATGTTGCCTTCCACTGGACTTGCCCACACTTTTCATTAGACATTCTCGGCCCTCCGGGTTAGAACGTCATACAGAATTCTCAAGCATCTTCAGCCTTTTCGGAGTCCTCAAGCCATCTGTTCAGTCCCACATTGATTCTCCTTGCATCTGCTTCCCACTCTCTCCCCTCCTCAGTGGGTTCCCAAATTTAAGAGACTAGGGGAAAAGGCATCACAAAAAGTGGGCCTGGGGGGCATTCTGTGATGGTTGCGCCCCCAATCAGCCTCTGCTGCTACCACACACTCCTCACGTCGTCGCAGCAAGGTCAGCTCCAACCTCTCCTTGGGGGCTGGTCTCCACCTCCCTTCCCACCCCTGAAAGTTCCCAAAGCGGCAGGATCAGGATCTGAGAAGGGTGTGTTAAAAAGAAGACCTACGGGTCAGAAATCTGGGCTGAAGCTGCCGGTGTTGACCGTAAGGGAAAGAAAGCCTTTGACCCAGAGGAAATGAGAACATGCTGGGGACTCAGACGGCAGCTGTGCAGAGTCACAATCCGTGGGCCTCGGGGGCAGCAGCGTTCAGGCGAGGAGAGGTACTCCACGGCACGTTTCCTAACTGAAACTCCACAGAAGAACCGCGTTTCACATCTGCACCTCGGATTCCTCACCCCCACACAGCAGAAGACAAGCGAGTCTGCACACACCCTTCTGCTCCAGACTTCAGTGCCAGGCGCAGGAACCTTATGCCTCAGAATTGTTTTTCCTCCTCCACAGAACGATCCACTTCCCCCGCCCACACACACAGGGAAGACACGCTGAGCTACCACCGCTCTTGTGGATAAGCAAAACGGGGTTGTTTTGATCCGAACTGGAAACAAATCTATTATTCGCATTTTGTCACAATCGAGATAGAAAATAGTGTAAATGAACTATATGTTTTTCCTACTTCAGGCTCCTAATATGGGCTTTGAGACTGCACTTGCTCCGCAGTATATCACCCTGGATGAAATGATTTTTTATGCATATGTACCTGAGAATGAAAATCAGAGAACTATATACACCAAGAAATTCAACAACATTCACTCTGGAAAAGTGATACACTCCAGGTAGTTACCTATTTGCCTCATATTTATTTAGATTGCACACTGGTTTCTAGATTCTAAATCTGAGTCTGCTTTTTAATTTTCTTGGTCAAATAGAGTAAGTGTTCTGTTTGTTTGTCTGTTTGTTTGTTTGTTTGACATCTCACGAGGCCAAATACTCTTGTAGACTCCAAGGTGCCTAGCGTGATGCCACAATGCCAGAAACTTGGGCCAGGTATATCAGCACCATCAGGCAAAGTTATAGAAATGTTCATCTGCCATCTTGAGTATAAAAACTTTCTGGGCTGTCTGTACTGGGTACTGCTTATCTGCAGTATCCACTCACATGGCAATTCTCATTCATCCTAAAAACAAACACATCTAATGCAGTGAAGACCATCTTGCCTGAAATACTGCATGACAGAATTCTCAGGAACACACTTCTAGGATATTGGCAAGAGCCAGTGACCCTTAATGCTATCTTTAAAGCCTAAATACTCTCTTTGAAGAACATTGTGAATTCTACAACTCCCTAAAATCTAACAAACAGAAAAGGAACAATTTCAGATTACCAGAAACTCACTGTATCCCAAATATGGGGAGCCCTATTCCGCCACGGTGAATTCTGTTTCTTATATATGCACTGGGCTGTCAGTACGTACACTGTCCCATAGCCAGCAATGCTATGTACCACTTAGAGGTAAAGATGAAGTTTCAAATGAGACATAATTTAACAAATGCTGGCAGTAGTTTGTTTGTTTTTTTTTTAATGAGAATTATAGAACTTTCTATCTCTAAGAAAAGTATCCATGATCTCTAGAACTTTTTTGTTTTCAATGGTTTTTGTATGGGTGACATTCCAGGTCAATTAGTTCATGTTTATACTGTAGGTATCTCCTTGTAGGAAATGGACAGAATCACTTTTTAAAAAATTAGCATATTCATGCCATCTCCATGTTAATATTAATTTCTTATAACATAATTATTTTTAAAAGCATGTGAAAATTCTCTTAAGAATCAGCATATTTGAAAACCAGACCTACACATTTTGTGATCAGATGCAGTAACTTCGCTCTGCCTATATAGAAACTAGGAAACGGCATTTCCAAGGCAGGAATTGCAAGCAAAGAGCCAGGATCGGAGAAGCAGAGGCGCGTGGAACTTCAGCCGGGCAGGTCAAGGATTTGGGAGCCCAAAGTTATGAGGTCAGCAGTAGGCCAAAGGCAGATATCTAGTCAGGGGTAAATCACAATGAGTCATTCATTCATCTCTTCCACAAATATTACTTAGCACTTACATATATGAGACACTGTGGTTGGTGCTATGATACAGTGGTGAGGAAGACAGGCCTTGAACTCGCACCCTAGCACAGGAAGTAGACCAGATTGTAAATACAGTTGACATAAGTCTACAATAAAAAAGTATGGAGCATTGAGAAAGTATTTTCCTGAGGGGTTAAGCCTTTGTTTGGAGGATCTTGAAAGGTTTCTCAGAGACTTACGATGAGATTGGAAGGATGAGAATGAAGGAAGATTCCAGACCGAGAGAATAGCATGTAAAAAAAAAGGCCCCCAGGTCAAAAGGCGCATGAGGTGTGTTTGAGAAACCCAAGGAAAACCAGAGTGACTTCAGTGTCATGATCAAAGGAGGAAAGTCATTCAAGAGAGGGCAGCTAGGTCCAGGGGGGCTTCTTAAGTCCCAGTAAGGAATTTGGTTGTTATTCCAAGAGAGAGGGAAGCACTGAAGACTTCTAATTAGGTGAGTAACTGGATTGATTTATGTGTAATTTGTCTACTGAATAAGCTGGAGAATCCAACCTTAGTTTTCTTCCTACTGTGTCTCTTCAAATCCCCTTTGTGAATTTATTTTCTTTCTACCTCTAAGCAAAGTATCAGGCAATTCCCATAGCTTTCCTCTTAGAAAGTAAATAAATATTTTATCAGCTTGAAAAAGTAATAATCATATAACTCAGTAATCACATGGCTCCATTCCTGTCTTGTGTTTTAAAAAACTGCAAACTCTTATCCAATTTAAATTTGTTTCCCAAACTCTATTTGGAACTTGACCCAAACTGGGAAGCCTGGAGTGCGGGGAGGTAAAGTGTTTCTTATTATTTTCTTATTATTTTCATATCCTCCTCCCTCATAGCTTACGATTTATAGCCCTTCTGGAGTTTGGGTGAAAGAAGAGAAGTTAAAAAAAGTGGGTGGGGTGGGGGTGGGGGGAGTGGCAAGAGAGGTCTTCCTGATGGAACCCTTTGCAGGAAGCAATGCCACTCTTCTAACTGTGACAAGTGCCCCCAACACATCTCCAGGGCTCTGGAAGTCTGCCACCCTGCTCCCTTCAGGCAGTCCCTCTGGGCAGCATTCCTTTTCTTTTCCTGCTTATTTAAGCCACAGTTTTATCCAGATTCCTTAATGTGTGTTGGTTTGTTTAGGAAAACTGGAACAGCTTACATAAGAAAGATATTGCAACATGACACTCCTAAGGGATTTTTGTCCTCGGTTATTGCAGAAGTAATAGACCCTTTTGGAATAGAAAATGTGAATGAGAGTCCTTGTTTGTCTAGTTCCCTTTCCATTAATCCAGATGGAAATTTCTATAAACTTACTCTTCAACTGCAACGTAAGTATAATAATATATCTCTTATGGCTAGTAAAAATGAAAAATTATCTTTTGAGAAGACTGTTCATGCTCATTTATAGAATAGTAGATTTCAAAATTTAGTCCAGTTGGCAATCTACAGAAGTCTGTCTGCATCGTCTCAGGTTTCTGAAGGAATTTTTTATTTCTAATATAATAAAAACCTAGCTATAACTTCATCGATATTTCATCAATAACAGTAGCTATCATTTATTCCTATGATGTTATTTTTGTATTAAACAACATTCAGGAGAATTTTAAAAAATAGGAAGTCTCTGCAGGTTTTGTCCTCCATAGTAAAATAATTTTAAATCACTGTTATGTAGGATATTTCTATTTCAAAGTTACATGATAAATACATAAAAGCTAGTGTAGTTCATTGTAAGAATCTGGGTTTTACTCTAAGTAAATGGGATGCCTTTGGAGGGTTTTGAGCAGAAAGTGACATGATCGGATTTAGGTTTTAACAAGATCATTTTGGCTGATGTGTCGAGAAATAAACTGGACAGGTGATGGAGAGTGGGTAAGAGGGAGAGCAGAGAAATCAGGAAGCTATTACAATAATCAGGTGAGAGATCACATTAAATTTAAGATGACTGTTACTCATCTAAGTGGAGAAATAAGATGGATATTTGCAAAGACAAATCTGGAGTTCAGTACACATCTGGACTGGAGAGAGAAATTTGAGCAGTCAGCATATATATGATAGTTAATACTATGAGACCAGATGAGATCACCAGGAAAACTAATGTGGATATAGAAAGGAAAAGGTCTGAGGTGTAATCCCTGGCATTCCCACAGTTAGTGGTCCAGGACATGGGAAAGAATCAGCAAAGGAGAGTAGGTGGTCTACTCTGAGGAGAACTGAGTGAAAACGTTTGAAGAAGGAGGAGGTGCTCCTGTGTTAGATGCTTTCAACAGGTCGGGTAAGATGAGAAAGGAAAACGGGCCAGCGGGGCTGTGTGAGTCATCGGTACCCTTGACGAAAGCTGTTGTTGGGTGAAGTAGTGTAGACCAAGGCTGATTGGATTCGATTCAAAAACTTATGAGAGGAGAGGAAGTAAAGATAATGAACAAAGGCAACTCAAGGAATTTCACTCCAGGGGGAAGAGAGAGATTATGTGGCATTTGGAGGGAAAGTAGGAAAGAATTTTTGTTGTTTTGTCTAAAATGGGAGAAACTAGAGTATGTGTGCTTAATAAAGGGAATTATGAGGTTCTCTTCCTACTACTTCTGTTTATTTTTTCAAAATGAGGCAAAGATTGTTGTTGATATGTTCCATGACCTATCAAAAACATTTGATTAAAAGAAACATTTGGTAATGATGCCCTCCCTCTCTTTCAAAAAGCTGCTTTTGGCTTCCCTCATATTCTCTTTGATGGCTTTTCTCCAGTCATTTCTTCTTTGTCTGTTTTGTGGAATCCTTTTCCCTTCCATTCCTTACATGACGGGGTTCCTACGGTCCTGCCCTAGAACCCCTTTTCTTCTAAATCTTCATGCTCTCCTTAAACAATCAATGATTCATCCATTCAACAAATAGTGATTGAACACCTGTGTAATAGGCAGACCTTCAGGTACTGGGGGAACACTGGTTCCATTATCCTTCTCTTATAGAATCACTAGAATCACAATAAAGATTCTAGGTGATTAAGGCTCTTGGATTTATAGTAAGGAAGTCAGTTTTCTTATAATTACTTAGACTTACATGAATTTTTTTTTCTGCTGAGAATTTTATAGAATTTGTTTCACAGGAAAGGGTGAAGTATAGGTTGGTGCTTGACATATTTATAAAACACGTTCTATAAAATAATTTGAATGATAACCTGAAATCTGGCAAATGTGTTCTATCATAGTTTAAAAACTCAAATTGTGTGTTTGTCAGTTTTGTCCACTGGTATGCTTGGAGAATAGTAACTGTTTTATTGCGTATCAAATCATTTCTGCTTTAGCTCCAGGAGTTGTTTCCTCATTTCAAGATTCGGATATAGAGAAGACTGTGGTGATTCCTGGTTATAGCAGCTTCCTAATCACAAGAATTATAGATGATCAAAATGCGTTAGCTATCGCTACGATGCCTATAAGAGCACCTGAGAATATGATTTTTGTAAAAGACACTTGGTTCTTATATAACTTTGGGCAAAGGAATGGACAAACATGGTCTATTTATGAAAAGCCATGTAATTATTGGTTTCAGCAACATGATGATTTACGATCCCTCAATGTCCTGAAATACGTTGATCTGGGGAAATCTCAGACTTTAAAAGTTGAGGTCATACCTGATACAAAAGGTAAGTTTATCTTTATTGGGAAACATCAAAAGGAGATGTTTTTGCTTTCCTTAAATGTGAGTTATATTCTTTGATATTTCCTTTATCTTCGGTTTCCATAGTAACAAGCATTCTACTAACAACAGTATTAGCTTCTAATTACTGAGCATTTACTATGTGGGAAGCTCTGAATTAAATAATTTTTACACATTTTTGATTTAATGTTTATAATAACTTTAAAAGGCTAGGCTATAATCCTCATTTAATAAATAAGAAAAATGAGGTTAAGTTAGCAGCCCAACTTTCCACGGGATTTTAGTTTAGAATTTTGCTTTCCTCCAAAAAGAAAACCTTTTAATTACCTTGAAATTGATTATTTTAAGTGATTTTTAAAGCCAAACAGTGGCTTTCAAATAAAATTCTATACTTTTTTCTATTTTTCCAGGTATTTATTTATTAGAAAAGTAATAACAAAACTTAATAATAATGATGATGGAGAAATGGCATACTAGAAAAGAATAAAACAAAAAAAATTAGTAAATAACTGAGCTAGAAAGAGAGGAGAAAAATGATAAGGAAGGGAGGGATTTTTTTTTGAAAGAGAAGAAAATCCTGTTACCAGAAGTGAAGAGGGAGCTCAAAGCCAAAACGTTAGCTAATATATGTGGCTCCCTGAAGCATGCGAGGCTCAGATATAGGCTATGTAGGCAGTGGGATGGATTTTAATGCCCAAACCTTAGCAGAAGATGTGGCTTGTGGCCTTCCAACTTTGTGATAGGAAATTGGAACTGAGACCATTAATAAAGCTGATACCATTAAACCACAAAGAGAGGATTAAGAAAACTCTACAGACTAATCCCCAAAAGAGAAGTTAGGGAGATTATCATCTCCATGGGGCTCAAGTGGAGAAAAAAATCTCCTGTAAAAAACTCAGACTCCAAGTCCTTGTAACACCAAAGACCACCCACCATATGCGGGAATCTTAAACTGAGAAATAATTGTAACCCCTGGGCACCAGCATAATAAGCCAACACAAAATCCTCTGTAAGAATATTTTCATAACCCAGGTAACATGGACTTCCATGAGAAAAATCAGTCTTCACTGAGCATGAATTGTGGAAAAGATTTTTTAAACTATGTAAGGAAATGACCCAATATTAGGGAGGGTCAATGGGCATTGGAAATAGAAAAATTTCATCTCCAAGACCTTGAGATAATAGAAAAATCAAAAAGACTATAAAATAAGCATACGTAAAACTCTTAAAGAGATTAAAGAAGATACATGAACCATAATAAAAGGACAAAACACTATTTTTTTAAAAGAGGCTTATTTGAAAAACAGAACCAAAGACAGCGTATAAATGAAAACTATAGTCTTTGAAAAAAATTGGAAGACATCTATTTCCATCATACTAAATATCCTGAAAAACTTCTTTTTGAAACCCTTAGAATTCTTTCTCATTGATTATATTTCCTTCAAATAATTTTAGAGTTTTAATTTTATGGTTTTAACTTTTCATTTAACTCGTTAATTTATCTAGATTTTGTTTTGGTGTGTTGTAGGTGGTTAGCTAATTGTTTCAACATCACTTACTGAATACTGTGTTTTTCACTGATTTCAAAATACAATTTTATCTTAGTATACAATTCAGCTATTGTTTTCACTATTTCTAGATTTTTAAATTCTGTTCCTTTGTTATCTTTTTATATTCTGGCTCAAATCCCACAATGTTCTCATTACTTTACCTTTAAAATATAGCAAATTAGTTGTTAAATGGTGCAATCAGTTTTACCCATTGAATTTGATGGTACCAACTAGTAATTGGCAAATCAGCTCAGTTGCCTTATTGTGAAGAAAAGCCTTGTCCGTGCTACTAAAAGGATGTCCCTGGACCAGCCACATCAGCATCACCTGGGTACTTATTAGAAATGCAGTCTTTTGTGGTTCCATATGAGTTTTAGAGTGTTTGTTTGTTTGTTTGTTTTTCTGAAAAACCCCTTTGGAATTTTGATTGGGATTTCATTGAATCTGTAGCTTTAGGTAATATGGGACATTTTAACTTTATTAATTCTTGTAATGCATAAATTCAGGTAAAGAGGGTTCTTAGACTCAATTTCCATGAGGGGAGCATTTCCCACACCACAAAGAATGCGGCTGACACCAGTGGGCTATCCTACAATTTGACTCAGTTCTCTCACTGTCTATCCAGAGATAGCAGCAGATTCCACAGGATAAGGGTTCAGTCCTACACAACAAACAAAAACAATCGACAAAATGAATAGCAAGCTACAGAATGGGAGAAAATATTTGCAAAACATGTATCTGATAAGGGATTAATATCTAAAAAGTGTAAGGAACTCATACAACTAAATAGCAAAAAACCACAAATGATTCAATTAAAAATGGGCAGAGGACCTGAATAGACATTTTTCCAAAGAAGACACAAATAGCCAACAGATACATAAAAAGGTTTTCAACATTTCTAGCCATCAGAGAAATGCAAACCAAAACCACAATGAGATATCATTTCACAGCTGTTAGAATGGCTATTATCAAAGAGACAAGTGATAAGTGCTGGTGAGGATGTGGCAAAAAGGGAACACTTGTGCACTGTTGGTAGGGACGTAAACTGATTCAGTCACTGCGGAAGACAGTATGGAGCTTCCTCAAAAAATTAAAAATAGAACTGTCTAGTGATCCAGTAATCCCACTTCTGGCATATGGCTGAAGGAAACGAAATCAGTATCTGGAGGAGAGATCTGCACTCCTGTGTTCACTGCGACATTGTTTGCAAAAGCCGAGACATGTAAATAAGTGTCTGCAGACAGATGGATAAAGTAAATGCAGTACATATACACAATGGAATATTATTCAGCCACAAAGAGAAGGAAATCCTACCACTCGCAACAACATGGATGGACCTGGAGGACATTGTGCCAAGTGAAATAAGGAGACAAAGAAAGACAAATACTGCATGATCTCGCTCATGTAGGATCTAAAAAAAAGTCTAACTCATAGAAGTAGAGGGGCTGGGACTGGGGTGGGGGAAAATAAGCAGATCATAGTCAAAGGGTACAAACTTCTACTTATAAAATGAATAAGTTCTGGGGATACACAGTATGGTGACTGTAATAATACTGTATCATATACTTTAAATTTGCTGAGAATAGATCTTAAGCATTCTCATCACACAAACACACACAAATGGGTAACTAGGTGAGGCGGGGGATGTATTAATTAACTTAATTGTGGTAACCATTTCACAATGTATACATCTATCAAATCATCACATTATACACTTTAAAATATGCAATTTTATTTGTCAGTTATACCTCAGTAAAGCTTGTGGGGAGGGAATGTGGAATAGCAGCCCCACCCCCACTCAGACCCGCTAAATCGGAACCTGCATTTTAACAAAATCCCCAGTTACAGTTTAGGAAGCATTGGCCAAGATCACTTTGACGTAGGGGGAACTGCTGCAGGTGAGACTTCAGGAAAATAAATCATTTACTACTTCTCATCTCTGATTTACCGATTGGTAAAGATGGCAGTTGGACTACATGCTCTTTCAAATCGCTTTATTTCCATTAAATTTCTCAGTACGGAGAAACATGCAAACAGGTGTCCTGCAGGCAGAAATTTCCCTGGTGACATGTCTTGTTAATTGCCTCAGAGTTTTCTCTTGGTAGCAATCAACGGACAGTCCTTTAAATTGAGCATGGACCCTTCCGCTTCCCTACTGAGTTAGTTATCCAACTCACTGAGATCAGTATAACCATGTGACCTTTATATGCATTTGATAACCTGGCCGAGGAATAAGGGGTGGAGGGCAGCAATATTTCTGTGAGAAAATAGGAGAAAATTTTTGCGAAGTTCAATTTTTCTAAAACTATTAAAGTTAAATCTGTATAAATTTCTCACTATATTTTTGCAGCCATTATGCGGCCTTCATGCTAGATTCTATAGCTGTTCTAGAATCCAGATTAGCCAATCATTATTAAATTGCTTAAAATCTTTGTGGCCTAATATTAACCTTTGGCCTTGTTTCTGTAGGTGTTCGAACACTTGAAATACCACTACTGAAGGTAATTGTTGGAAACCCAACTTTGTTGGAGGTAAAAGCTAAAGGCTCTTTTGATGATACGTATAGTTATCTAATGGAAGTTTCTGCAGCTAGCACAGCTTTCCAACAGGTAAGATTTTTTTTAATTATTAAAAAAATCTATGAATTATAGAAAATTTAGAATAAAGGCTAAGGAAAAAAGGAAAAATTACACATAATCCTACCTATCAAAGATGACTAAGTACTTTTAACATTGCAGGCTATTCCAAAAAGGCAGTGTAGCAGTACAGAAAAGATTAAAAGAGTGAGCTCTGGAAAAGATGACCTGAGTTAGATCTCATTTCTGGCGAATGTTACTTTACTGTGGCTAAGTTTCCTCGTCTATAAAATGGAGATGAAAATAATAAAACCTACCTCATGAGGTTGTTTTGAAAATTAAATGTGATCATTCAAGTAGGGCATCTAAAACATTGTCTAGCACATAGAAAATGCTCGATCACTATGAACTCAAAGTATTTTCCTAAAACTTGGTTTAAAGAGGGCATTGTTCATACACTTTTAAATATTTGCTCCTTCCTCTTAACTATATGTTTTAATCCCCTCAAGTCAATAAATACTTTTCGACATATTCTAATTTTTTTTATCATGAAAACTTTCAGACATATGTAAAAGTAGAATTTCCATATATCTATTACACTTAAACAACAGTCAAGAGTTTGCTATTTTATTTTATCTTCCCTATTTAATTTTGTTTATATTCTGACATTAAGTCTCTCCTGATTGAAAGGTACTATTCCATTTTCCTCCCCTGCCATTGAACTGTGGAAATTTGGTTACTCAGGTTACAGAATATCAAACATTTTGGCTTTTTCTGTTGGCTTCCTTGTCTCTTATTTAACAGTACTCTCCATCCCCACACTCCATGGCCCCCAATTTCTTTTAATATTATAACCCTGCTTGGATACTGATGAAATGAGCCTTGGCAAAAATTCGTGAAAAGTATATTATTTTTAGTGGCTACTGAATATGGGGATTGGAGTAAGACTACCACTACCAGCGTCTACTATACCCCTTAGTTATTAGTATTTCCACATTTTTAAAATTTCAAAATTACTTTAAAATTTCAAACAGAATCGATCAAATTTTGTTGAATGTTTAATATTGTTCAAGGTTCAAATACATCTATTGTGCATACAGTCCTACTAAAAACATATCTTTGTGAAATACAGTGAATGCTAAGTGAATAACTTCTCTTCAAAATAAATGGCCAGTAGAAGTTATATCATTCATATCATCAAAGCAAATGTTCGGGTGCTCGCTCGTCAGTGTGAGCTGAATGTAACTATGGTATTTATTTAACAAGTCCTTCTTGACTCTTGCTCATTTCCAAATGTTGTCCATATTCAATTAGATTGAAACGTGTTTCTTCCTGGAAAAGAACGTATTTTCTGTTATGATTTATTCTCAAACAGATCTTTATGCCAAACATCGCTCTAGCTCTATTTTCTATTATCGGTCTATTTCTATTTCTTTTCTTTTTCTGTATTCTGATTGACTTAAACAACAGAAATGTATTTTCTCACAGTGCTAGAGTCTAGAAGTCCAAGATCAAGGTGTCGGTAGGGTTGTTTTTTTCAGATGACTCTTTCCTCGGTTTATAGATGGCCGTGTTTTTCCTGTTGTCTTCACATCGCCTTCCCTCTGTGTGTGTCTCTATTCCAATTTCCTCTTGTTACAAAGACACCCCTCCCATTGAATTAGGGCCTGTCTTAGTGACCTCATTTTAATTTAGTTACCTCTTTAAAGGCCTTGTCTCTAAATGCAGTCACATTCTAAGATACTAAGGGTTAAGACATCCATATATGAATTCTGAGTGGACACAGTGCATCCTACAACAGCTACATTATTATTTTTAATTTTTATTATTTCAATTAGAGTTGACATTCAATATTATCTTATATTCATTTCAGGTGTACAGCATAGTGGTTAGATAATTAAATTTATATAATTTATGAAGTGCTTTTCCCCCCTCCCAATTAGTCTAGTACCTACCTGGCATTTTACATAGTTATTACAATCTTATTGACTATATTTCCTATGCATAACAGCTACTTTAAATAGTCTTCATTTATTTGGATATTTCCAGGGTTCGACTTCACTGGCATTTGTTGTCTGGGGAGCATCGACTGACTGCTTTGTTACAACATTCGTGCCAACATTGAAAAGCAGCTGTAGTTATCTCAAATCTATGCATCATATTCCTAGTAAATTTATCCCACCGGAAGACTGGATCAGCGGAGTTCACACAGACAGCCAGGGTTTTAATATGATCAAAACTTTGCCGGTAAAATAACCTAAGCAGATTGTTTTAAGGGTACCAGTGATATTGTTATTACTTTTGTGGGATTAGCTAGCCAGTCAGTCTCAGCATTTCTTTCCTGAGATGCTCGAAACACTCCAGTTGTTTTTCAGTCCTCACATCTTTTT